GTTGGTTGGTTACTCTCGCCATAATGAAACACTGAAACCGTGTGAATGAAAAAAGAGATAGTGTTAAACAGCAACGAAGAAAATAATAACGTATAAATTCTTCTTCAGCCCACGAAATGAAAAAAAAAAAAAGAATCTGACGAAAGACACGAAAGAATCTCTGGTCGCGTCTTTTTCTCGCAAGCAGGACATTTTGGTCGATGATTCTACGCCTGCGGCAACCATTGTCCCGACCGGAAAGGTCCCGGAACGGGACAGCAGTCGAAATTCAAATCAGATGCACCGTTGGCAAGGTCGTTATGTCACCAGACAACTATTAGACCTGTAGTTTCAAGGGAATCCGCTTGCCAGTCGTCGGAAATAATTTCGGCTCCTCACAAAAAAATGTTTTAATCATGGCAAGTAGAATTCTTGGTACGAGGAGCCATCTCCGATTCATACGCGAGAACAGACATTTAATTTTAGGTTTCCAATTTTATTCAGTTGGACTAAAATTTTATGTTCAGAGCGCGAAAAGTGGAATTGGTGAAGATCCGATTTCATTAAGGATTATTAAGTTTGGATTGCGAAGTGTCATTGCAAAATTTAAGTTTCAGAGATTGGTATTGCGACTTTGTAATTACGTTATTGCGACAGTGACTGCGATTGTCTTCTGAATTTCTGGCACTGGGATTTTGTCACCGTGCAATGATGTTTGTGATAGTGAATGTTTTAGTGAGTGTGCGATAGTGATTGCGATTATGATTTCGTGGTGAAGGAGTTCCAAGTTACACGACGTTGCTGAAACAAAGTCTGGAGAAAAATCGAGCCGGGGGATGAGACACTTGCATTTTTTTTACAGCTGGAATTCCATGGGAGGTCTTCATCGTTGGCAGACACGCCGTCTGGCGATCGTCTAGCTTCGGTGATCGGCAGTTCAGGTGTTTTTACGGTTTCCCTGCCGCTATTTCCACCCCTCCCCCTCCTCCCAGCATCCTTTCGGTTTCATGGCTTTTCCAGAGATTTTACCGCCCCGGGGCTCGAAGTTTTACGACGTCGTTTCTTGGATTTTATATCACGACGTCGTGGCATTCCGCCGATGAAGAACGAGTCGATTTACACGTCGCTTTACGGAAACATATATCCGTGGAAAACGAGGCCCTTTTACGAACGTAAATTTCCAAGAGATTTACTCGTTTCCTTCGCCGAGTTGAAGAAACTATTGCAAAAGACGCGCCAATTGAATGTTATTACCGTGTAATATTGCTTGCTTGCAAAACAACAAAACACACAACGAAAGATTCTCAAAGCTCGATGAAAAGTTCCCTACAAATATTGTATCTGCGATCGATGTTCACTAAGATCTATCGTACACGAACCATAAAGTACCGTTTCCCAAAGCACGTCGTTCAATTGAAACACAGTTATCCCAAGGTGGGACACTGCCGTGCAACGAGAACAACAAGTGGGAAAAAACTGAAGAAAAATCGAATTTACAAGAGATGCAAATCAGAAGATCGCGTAACATAGTGCGCGTCCCTTGCGAAACCGCTGGCTTTATGCGTCCTTTTATGAATCTCAAACAGAAACGAAAGCGAGCCGTGGATTCGTTACGTCAACCGTTACGACCAAGAGGGCAAGATCGAGGGTCGAAGTCGATCCTCGACTCGCGATACAAGGAGGCAACTCGGAATAGTAGAATAAGTATTGAATTTCAACAAAAAACTATGCGACTACACACTTCAATAAGTATAAAAATTCGTTAGAAACAAATAGTTCTCCTTGCGCGATGCTTGTCCCGTTTATATTTTTGATAAATAGCCTGGTGGTTTTTTGGGGCCTCATTTTCGACCGAAATTTCACCGTCATGCGATCCGTGCATTAAGGAATAGTAGTGGAACGTTTACGTCGACCGCTGGCGGGCTGATTTCGGGGCCCGAATGAAAATGTTCCTCGGGATTCGATTTCGAGACACGCGAGGTGATAATAATCGCGAGTCGAGGACGAAATGGGAAGATTGAGTCATTACTTTGCCCGTTCAATCTTCGAAGGCGACGTTGGTGCTTTCAACCTCTTGATTCGGCCACCGTACCACACTACGCACGAGAGCTTCGATAGTTGCTTAAACAAATGCGTAATATTTCATAGAAATATATTTATAATATCGTCATATCTCTTCTCGCCATCACCGATACACGTCATCGAACCGGTCATTTTCATTCGAGTTCCAACATTAATCTCCTTTCAAATAGCACGCTTGGAAGGATTAACGAGTAACGGATAGGTCTGTCGCTCACCTGTGATCCGTTACTCGAAATTTGTATCCCCCCCCCTCCCCCCTCCCCCGGGGGGAAAAATTTCGCCCACATCTGTTCAAAACGAGCGATTAGAGCCCTCGGGTAGGCAAGGAAACGATACACATCCCCGTCCCGCGGGCACGGGCGAGACAGACTGCTTAACGTATTCATCATTCCCGCTTGAAATGCCGCGTTAACCACCTGTGGCGACAGAAAGAGCGCCGTGTCGAAGAAGATAAACCTCGCGAGAGCCGCCTATCGCGGCGAGCAAACAACAGAAGAGGAGCGAAGCGGCTGCCGCTGCAGCCGAGGATCACGCATAGGTGAAAGTCGTTATCTGTTACGTTAACGAGCACCCAGGGCGTCACGGGATCTGGGAGAGGACTGGAGAGGAGGGGACCGGTCGCTTCATGACGGGAATTACCATGGCGAAGTTACTCTCGGGTCATTAGAGTCGGCCATTTGCCGCGATTACGTTTCGAGTAACGGAAGTCGTGACGAAACTCTGTCCTGAGTACACCTGAGCTCTGCCTTTGATTCGAGAACCGTACCGACCTGGCCTCCCGACTGCGATCTCTTTGAAAGCCGGTCGATTCGGTGGTACCATTTTAACAGATGTACTTGGTTATCATCCTTCTCATGCGATTCATAATAAAATTGTAAAACACGTTGTAAAAAATGGATTAACCCATAAAAAAAAAAAAAAAATGAAAAAATTAATGACCTTAATACGTCCACCTACAAGAAAACTAATGTACCATTCAACTTTATCTGAAACATATTTTGCTATACATGATAAGATCGACGTAAACCGAGGTGAACAATCGTGTCCATAAAATGTGGATATAAAATACTGTGATCAGTCCGTGGAAAGGGAAAAAAATGTTACACACGAACACGATCGACTTTTTGTTCAGTTTCTGGTCACCTATCAGACGGAATCGGTTGTTACACGGGCGCCGTCAATGGGGAAAGCGCGTGTCTCGTAAATGGCCGATCTACACGACACGTCGCGCGTGCCATTGGCAGTGAAAAACATTTATGGAAACGTGCTTCACCTTTTACGAGTGAAGCCACCGATTACTTAATCCCTTCGGGGAGCTCGCGGGGAAAGAACGAACCACCTGGGTCATTGCCGGCGTTTTATTCCGCTTCTCGAAACGGGAAATCGATCATTTTTCAGTTTTTTCCCTCTGGTTCCTGCTATAATTGATTTCCAAATAAAGGGCTATTCGAAAGTTTTGAATGGCTAGAATTTATTACGTCAAAAATGTTGAAAAAGGTATGTAACTTTGTTAATAGAAGAGGTTTCGAATTTTTGTCTCGAATAGCTCTTATTTTTCGTTTACGTTCCAAATGGTACATATTTTTCGAGATGGCGAAACCGACCACCCGTTAAATCGCTAAAAGATGAATTTTTGATTAATCTTCGTGGACGAGTACACACGTATGCGAAATAAGCGAATGTCAGGTGGGATTCCATGGGCAACGACAATTGGGATTTTAAGCTGGACTTGGGACTTGGGACTTGGAAAAGTGAACGTTAACTAAACTTGGCCTCGAAGTCGCCGATGGAAAGAAACATAGTCTTCTTTCGCGAGAGCGATAAGCGCGTAACTTTACGGGGAATTCAAGAGGAAAATGTACTTGATTGAAAACTTTTCAAAAACACGTTCAAATAGCAGTTAAGCCTCGCAATGCGTAACTATCAATTACACATAAAAATGAGCGAATCGCAAAATTTTCTTTTTCAACATTTCTTTAATTATAACGAGGATGAGAGGGGCGAGGAAAGTATTTGCAAAGCTCGAGACGGAAGAGGGAAAGCGAGTAAACGAAAACGAAGGATAAAGACGCGAGGAAGCGGTCCTGGTTAACGGTTGAAAAATAAAAAGAATGCGACGGGCGACACGACGGAATGATAAATTCGCGTTCACACGTGTTTTTTGCCCCAGCCTCAACCTGCTTCCCCACCTGATTCGATCCTAATCGACGATCTTACGTCACGGATGCAAAGTCACAACCGGTTTCAGACAGCGAACGGGCCTTACGAACTGTTTACACGTAGCGTGCGTCAGCTTCGGACCCGTTTCCCCCCTCTCCGTCCCGTTCCGTAGGTCCTGGACAACCAAAGGTCTCTCTGGTGTTGTATTACCTAATAACAAACTTCCCATTCGCGCGAGTAACGTGAAATCACCTTGCGAATTTCCGTCTGGGGATTCTGCGGAAACGAACGGGTAAACAGTTTAAAAGTAAACTGTTCCCGCTCATTTTCCAGGTTCATTTAATGAAGAAATAAATTTATGAAACGAGTAAATAAATTTAGTGCTCTTTACCCATTATACGTGTAAATTTTGAAAAACACTTGAAACAAATCTCCGAGAGAATTAAATTCTCCACAAAAAAAAAAACTCTATAAACTGTTTTTCTATCTCCTCTGCAAACGTTACCTTAAGTGTATGAATGTGTCGTGGGGGCACGTTAGGTGTTAATTAATAGTCGCACCCCCGTTGCTAAATTTCTAGCCGCGCCGGTCCGCGCAATTATGTATCGAACGGCAATAGTCACGCTCCTGGGACGTTCATTCAACGGGCTGAAACGTTTACGAGAGGTAAAGGTCGAGAGTACCTGGCCGCATAATTACGAGGCTCCTCTCGTCGCGCGCGAATTTTCGACAATTAAGCAACGGGGGGAGAATTAAGCATGGAGACGCAACGGACTCACCCTTCTGCAGCTGGCCGTGGTCCGCGTTCATTTTCGCCTGCAACAGAAAGTGCTGCGCTTCACTAAGTAGAATTAGCACCGGGGCTGGGAAAATTCCAACAATTCGACTAAAATATGTGCAACCGGCTGACTCACCTCGTAACCTTGTTTCGCGCCACGACCGCCGCCCCAGTAGTCGCTCTCCTTGTCGTGGGGGTTGCATTGCTGCAACAGAAAAGGGACAACACTGTTAGTAAAAGGGAAAATTTGAATCGAACCTAAGTACTCTTATTCTCTTCCTTAAATTTTCTATTTGCCTTCGGTGCATCTTATATGATGGTAATTTAGATCTTCTATTTCTGAGGGGCGTCGAAAGTAAAAATGGATAATAATCAGTACAGTTAGGTTCGTTCCCGAAAGCTAGACAAAGAGACTGAATAATTAGCGAGCATCGAAGCGGTTGTAGGTGAGTGGCGAGGGTTGGCAAGGTGGCGAAGCGTGATGTGTTCGGGCCGACGTGGTCGAAGTGGCGGGTTGGCGGGGGTGGTAGAGAGGGTCGTGGACGGCGAAGGGTGGCGACGAGGGGACGGGAGAGGCAGTGTCTAGACACAACACAGACGAGGGTGGCGGGCCTAGCCTGTGACCTTGAGCATCACTCGGCCTTCTGCGAAGATAAACAATCCAACCCCTGAACGATGTTTCCCAACCTAACATGTTACGCGTGAATGCGTGTGCCAAAGGGTGGCTTCCCTCGCGTGGGCGTCATACCACGGACGGCCGAGAGATGCCGAGGACGAGGATGATAAATGATGATCGCCTAGTCTTCGTCGGATAAAAATACTGACGCGAAATGGGGGAATGTTATCAAGTGGAATGAATGTGATAAATAATTCCCAAGGGCTGGAATTCTTATCGTGATGTGTATTTAGAGAAGGAAATTTAAGTTTCTTCTTAAAATATCAAAACCGAGAATACACCCCTATTTCCTTAATCTGACCGAGTCACCCCCTAAGACGCTAAGTTTCCGTTAAAAATAAATCTTTCAGGTTACTTCCAATTCACTTCCAAATCATTCGACGTTTCACTAATTGCTGTTGGGGGATATCTTTCCCTCATCGATATTCCCGTAACACTAAGGGTGTCCCCTTACCCCCGAAGCCTGGAACGATCGTGGGTAGTTTAAACAGCGACTGAGCTACGCGTTTAGACCTACAGGACGCGGAGAATGGTAGGAACATTAAAGGATGACCTCGTTTCCCTTCTCATGACCTCCTATATAAACCACAGACGACCCGCTGCCACCCTTCGACGACCCTCCCTAACTCCAAGGACTTTGCGTGTGGTCACGTATCCTCCTCCAAGGACTCGGAATGCGAGCCACGAAGGGAGACTCGAGGGCGGTTTATTTTCCATGAATTTATTTATCAGTTCCAATTGGAAAATATGAGGGTTGTACGATGTTACAAGGTTGTTAGGGGACAAGAAGCATGAACTATAAGGTTAATCATCTTGTTGTTCTTTAGATGTTCGATTGTTAAAATAATTGAAATTGTTACATATAAATTCATCGATATAATTTATCATATATATTCTAAAGTACATACCAAATTGATGAATCCTAAAACAAATATTTCAACGTTAAAATTAAACGTAGATTAAATACAGATTAAAAAATATTATAATGGAAAATGATATTTAATTAAAAATATAAACAAGAAACTTTTAATTTAATCCTTGCTACATTCAATCTACAATATATCCAAAATATATTAAACCCATTTTTCTCATTTTTCTCCAAACTTTTCAATCGCATAATCGTCGAATGTTTCACGGTGAAATTCACCCTCGATCTCAGCCGACGGTTTTCGAGTCGATCGACCCAGTTTCGCGGGCTTGGAATCGATATGGTGGCCACTTCGCGGGCCGAATTTTACGCGGTTGTAAATTTTAAGGGTGGCAGGGCTTGAGAACCGAACGAAGGGACATCGTAAGACGTCGAAAGGGCGATACTTTCGTCTTGTCGCTCCACAGGTGGCTCGTGAAACGATCTGATTCTTCTGAGAAAGTTCGCGAACGCGAAGGGATATGCATTTTTGGACTAAGGGTAGTCAACGAGCCCTAAAGTCGAGGGAAACTCTCAGACAAGGGAAAATCCTTTTGGCTATCGCGCGAGATTATTTTTATTGGGACAAAATCTTAAGACAGTTTTTTTTTTAATTTTGTGCTGGAAGAGTTAGACACTCTTTTGTATAATATTTTTGGAGTTCTTTATACTCATTTACACATATAAATAAATAAGTACTTTGCCCACTTTACCCATTCGAAATTTATAAATTCTAATAATAGATTCCATTTCCATTTCGTGGGAAAAATTAGTTTGGAAGATTTCCCCACGTCGTAAAAACACCTATCCGCTTCTCAAGCACCACCGGAAGCCAGGATTTCTATTTTAAAGTCGAGAAACCAGAGGAGACATCAAAGAGCATCACCCTGCGTTGTCGAACAGGGAGAGACTGGATCATCCCTTAAAATCCACTCGACTGGTGACAGATGGTATAGCGATCGGTCGTGTGACGCTTAAAATGGGCTCGTCTAATGAGCACCGCGAATTATTCACGAACTTTGATCCCGGAGCCAGCGTCAAGGCGCCTAAGGTCATCTGACATTTCTACGACATTTATCGCAAGGGTTGTCGCCTCAAAACACCCGCTTTGACGAGGGTCGAATCGCGAAATACGAAACGTTCGTCTCGGATAATTTCCATCAATATTAAGAGGGGTGTAGAGAAAGAGGGGATGAAGAATTTACTGGGAAGTTCTTTTGAAGTAAAACTTAAGTGCAACCCTCCGATACTAGTTTTAACGAATTTATAAATAGTTTATCGGCTCTATGTTTTAATCCTATTTTCGATAGAATAATAATTAATAGAATAGTAAACTAAAAAACACTTTTATTTCTATCTATAAATCACAATTTACTCTTAGTATCTTCGTTTCACCGATGATTAAAAATATAGACTGAGAAATTAAAAACGAAATGACTAAATAACTCGTCACATATCTTATTAATTTTCATTCGCCAAAGCTCATCTTCCTCATCAAAAACAGCGCATAATTTATTTAAAAGACTCCCCAGCATATCCAGTAGTTCCGAAGATGCAAGGCCGAAACTTCGTAGAGTAGTTTCATCTCGTAAACTTGAGTTACCGCGGCTAAATAAAACACCCATCCCTTATCTCAGGCTCTTTCGCAACCCACCAGGAAACTTTCACACAATTCTCAGAACCACCACAGAAATTACCACCTCCCGTTAACCCCGCGATTAACAAAACCCAAGCAGATTTCTAAAATTTTCCCTAATCCTTCGGTTCTCGCGTTATTCACCCTTTCACTCCCTGGAACCTACCCTCCCTGTCCCAGAGTATTCTTGACGGACCCTTCAAAAAATCGATGTCGATAATTTCTATCGAACCAGAAACGCGGGCGGAGGGGGTGGCTCCCGCAGCCCTTACGTCCAGACGAGAGCGCGGGCGATGGAAAAAGGCGAAAAGGAGGGTGGAAAAAAAGGGGAAAAAAATGGAAAAACGTGCTCCACGATCCCCGGATTGGTAATCCAACCTACCACGGAGCAGCTCGAAGGGAAGATAAAGAAAGGAATAAAAAAAGAAGAAGTAAAAAAAAAAAATACATTTTAGCTCGCATCCAGGCGCTGCAACCCCTCTCCTTCCACCACCACCCCACCCCACCCCACCCCACCCCCCCACCACCTCGGCGTTCCGTACGTCGGTGTAGGTGGTCGGGCCGATAGTCGAGAGAGCGTCCCGATAGCAAAAGGACGCCGACGCCCGGCGTCGGAGGGTAGTCCGGGGAAAAAAATCACAAGGATGGAAGGGTGGACCAGGGATGGAGAGAGCGGGTGGTACACCGAGTCGGGGGTTGGAGAAGAGAAACGGAAAGCGGGACAGAGCGAGGTCTACAGATCGAAGGAGTGCAAGAAAGGGGGACGAAAGGGATGAGAACGGCGCTCGAGGCGGTCCGGGGGAGGGGTGCGCGGGGGTGAGACGCGGCCCGCGCGTTGGTGGCGAAGAGGGGGAGGGAAAAAAGAGGTGTAAAAAATATCCGGAGCCGAGGAAACGGGAGGAAAAAATCGGCCAGTCTCCGGGAAGGAGAAGCGCGGCCCGGGGGTAGGGGGTGAGAACGGAAAGGGGTGGAAAGATAGAGGGGGTGGAAGGATCGAACGAGGGGCTGCAAGAGAAGGAAAACGATGAGGGGGCGGGGATGGATGAAAAATATATCGCAGCGGATAGAGACCAAGTCGAGGAGACACCACTGTACCGAACCCCGTACCGAGGGTAAGATAAACAAGGGGGTTGGAACTGGATGGCTCATTATTTTCTGGTGAATAACCGACATTCTTCCGCAAACTTTTAAACTGAACTACGTTTTCGCAGTTACGAGCTTTGTAGGACCACTCGACGATACAATTCCCCCGTTTTTGAGGGGATCCAAGCCGCCACCGGTTAGGAATTTCAGCCCTCGCGGAAGCTGAGCCAAAGGAACGCCGAGGGAGGGATCATTTGTTTCTGGAGAATAAGCAGGTTTCTTTTGTAATGTTTCAACTGAATGAACTGCGATTAGGGTGGTTACAGAAATTTCTTGTTTTGGAGGTGTCAAACTCACCCCTTAAAAAATTCTAGTTCCTACGTAGTCAAAGTACCAGAGATATTGTATGAACCGAGGGGTGGGAATAAGTAAGTGGGAGGGCTTGTTATATTGCGGGGAACAAAGAAATCTCTTTTGTAAACTTTGAACTGAATTAACTGTTCGCAGTTAGGGTGGTTTCAAAACTTTGCGGGGATTAATCTTTGGTTCCGAAGGAATCAAGCTCACCCTTTAAGAATTCCAGTCTCCATGCGGACGAAGTCGCAGAGAACGTACGAACGTAGTAAGGGTAGGGCAAACAAGGGGATGGAACTGGATGGGCTCATTATTTTCTAAAGAATAACCGAAATTTTTTCATGAATTTTGAACTGATTCTTCCCGAAAGCTTTCTGACAATTAGTTCATGACTTTGAAGGTACCAAACTCACCCTTTAAGAATTCTAATCTCTATGGAGACCGAGTTAAAGAGTTATCGTGCAAATACGTTAAGGGTAAGGATAGGGATTAAGACGCAGAGACGTCGTACGAACATACTAAGGGTAAGGTAAACGAGAGAGTGGAACT